TTCATTTTTAAAAGCACCTTCTTATAAGATATTTCTTTTATTTTTTTTTCATGCAATGCATTCCTTTTATAAAAAAAAAAAAAAAAAATTTGTGAAAATAGTCTTTAATTAAAAACGTCTTTTCAAAAAAAAAAAAAAAAAAAAAAAGGGATAATGTTTTTTACTTAAGTTCTTGAATGTAGCATTCTTTTTCTTTAATAAGTGTGTGAAATTTTTTTGATTCATTTTCATAATAAGTTTCTATCATTTTATAATTATTGCTTATATCACTGAAACTAAAAAAGAGAACGTTTATTTATTTTTTTTTTTTTTTTTAATTACTAAAACTTCTTCATTTATTTTGCTTTTTATATGCTTTTATTAAATTAATAACAACAAAATATATAAATTCTCAAAATATGTTTATATATGTAAATTATAGTTAATAACTAATTTTTAGATATATAAAAATCTTTTTTTTTTTTTTTAAGGATAAATTTGCATTTTTTTTCAGTATCTTATAAAATTTTTTTTTTAATCTACTACAAAGTTTAGAAAATATTTTTTTTAATTTACCATTTAAGTAATAGACTTCCAGTAAATTCATTTTTTTTGAGCACATTTGTATTATATTCTTCTTTTATATTACTTATTTCTTTATATACTGTAAATAATTCATTACTAATTATGTTTTTAATTTTTACATTTTCATTTAATTCATCCTTATTTAAATTCTGTTATAATAAGAAATTAAAATTTTTGAATTTATAAAATTTTCTAGGGAAATGCAATAAATTAAATAATTGTATACATAAATATAAACAAATTAAATGTAAATTTTATAGTTATATGAGTTTATTGTGTTATTTTTAGCTACTTAAAATATTTAATAGAAGAAAAAGTTTTTTATTTTATATTCCTAATTATGCATATTTTTTATGTATTTTGATATATATATATATATATATTTTTAATTATTTTTTTAATCCTATTTTTTTATTTATTATAATTATATTAATAATTTCATAAATATAATGTCCTTAATTATAGAAAAAAATTTCTTAATTTTAAATACCTTCTCTATTATATTAAAGTTGTCCAAAAATTCTTTCTCTTTAAAATTACTGTTTTCTGATGAGGAAATTACACTTTTTTGTTTTGAACAATTTGATAAAAAAGAATAATTATTTTCATTTTGAGAACCTTTAATTGTGTCTTCTTTATTGTAATTAGAATTATTTGATTTAAAATTAATGTCAGAATTATTTAAATCATTTATATTTGATTTGGAAATTTTTTTTTTGTGTTGTTCTTCTATTTTAGCTTTTAATGAATTTATTTTAAAATCTTTACTTTTTAATAAATTTTTATATTTTTCTATTTCTTTCAAACTGTTATTTAATTTTTCTTTCATTTCTTCCATATTATTTTTAAAAAAAATTTTATTTGAAGAATAATTATTGTTATTAAAATCAAAATTATTAGTTTTTTGTCCTGATTTATTTATTCCATATTCTTCATTATATAATACCTCAACTTGTTTATTATTTAATTCAAAATTTTTATTATTATACTTTTCTTTTTTACTGCTTAAAATGTTTATATCTTCCATATCAATTTTCTTTTTTTTTGATAAATCATTTGGAAGAATGTCATTTAATAATTCAATATTTTCTGAAGAATTGTGATCAAAACTATGCATATTGTCTAGATTATTCAAGCAATCTTTTTTTTTTGAACACGAATCAAATTCGCTCAATTTTTTTAGTGAACTTCTTTCCATATTTAATATAGATATTTCTTTAATATATAACTCTTCTTCCTTTTTCTTAAGCTCATCTTCTCTATGTTTAATCATTTCGATTTTATGTAAAATTTCTTCTTTCAATATATTTAATTCTTTTAATTCTCTTAAAAATATTTCCTTTTCATCATTAAACTTTTTTTCTTTTTCTATAATTATTTTTTTTTCATTTTCTAAGTCTTTTTCTTTTTTTTCTAAAATTTCATTTTTTATCTTTATGATATTGTCTTCTTTCATATTAAGTTCATTGTCTTTTGATATTAAATCATGAAGAGAACAATTTTTGTAATTTTTTTGTTTGCTTAAATTTAAAAATTCGTTATCCCATTTTTGTGTGTGACACCTCATTGAAATATCATTATTAAATAAATTTAATAAAGTACTTTTTTTTTCTATTACTGAAACATTCATACTATTATAATATGCCTCATTTTCTTTATTTCTCATCAAAAGACTATCAAGAATTGACTTAGAATCAAAATCTATAATTTCATTATTTTCTAAATTAACTGAGTTCTGGTTATTTATGTTGGTAGTTTCTTTAATTCCTTTATTTTCGAAATTATCCATTTCATTAATTTTTTCAAGTGATTTTTTATTTCCTTCTTTTATTAAACATGCAACTTTTTCAATTTGACTTTTATTTTGTCTTAATGGATTATATTCTATTTCTTTTTTTTCATCTTTCTCTTCTAAATCCTTTTTATATTTCATTTCTCTTAATTGTCTGTCATTTGAATTATATTCATATTCTATTTCAATCTTTTCTTTTCTTAAAAATTCATATTCATTTTCTATATCATCTTTATTTTTTTCCAATAAATTATTTCCCATTTCAATCGCTTTTTTTTTTTCTTGTATAATATTTTCATCTTTTTCAATTTCTGCCTTTATCTTCTCCATTAAAATTTTTTTATCCCCCACTTCTTTTAATTGTTTCTCAATTAAGTTATTATTATTCTCTATTTCTTTTTTTTTTTCTAATAGTAAATCACTTTCTTTTTCTATCTCTCTTTTTTTTTCTTCTAATAAGTCATTTTCTTTTTCTATTTCTTTTTTTTTTTCTTCCATTAAATTATTTTCTTTTTCTATCTCTCTTTTCCTTTCTTCTAATAAGTCATTTTCTTTTTCTATTTCTTTTTTTTTTTCTTTTAGTAAATCATTTTCATTATCTATCTCCTTTTTTTTTTCTTTTAATAAATCATTTTCGTTGGCTACTTCTTTTTTTTTTTCTTTTAGTAAATCATTTTCACATTCTATTTCTTTTCTATTTTTTTCTAAAATATCATTTTCATTTTCTATTTCTGTTTTTTTTTTTTTTATTAAATCGTTTTCATATTCTATGTCTTTTTTTTTTTTTTGTATTAAGTTACTTTCATATTCAATTTCTTTTTTTCTTAGTTCTATATTATTCATTTCATTTTCTATTTCTTTTTTGTTTTGTTCATTAATTTCTTTAATTTGCATTAGTTTTATATTTTCATCAACCATTTTTTTTGTTGAATTTTCCAATTTTTTTTCTTCATATTTAATAATTGATTGACTTCTGTAAACATTTTTAAAAAAATTGTCATTTTCATCCATATTATTGTGTGATATATTAATTTCTTTCAGAATTTCTTCATCTCTTTTCTTTTTTAAAAAAGAATATTTTTGTTTTAGTTCATCATATTTCATTTCTAATTTAATGTTTTTTTCTTTTTCATTTTTAATAATATCTTTTAAATACTCATATATATCTTCCTGCTTATTAGAATTTTCAAGTATGCCTGACTTTTTTACCTTTAAAACAAAATCATTACTTATTCCTTCAATTTTTAAAATATCACTTTTTATATTTTCATTATTCATATTATTTAAATTTGAAAAATTATTTTTTTCTGATCTTATATTATATTCATTATTATTATTTAAAAAAGTTAATGCCGAATATAAATTTTTTTTTCTCATCTCATGTATATTATTAATGTTATTATTATATTTATCAGAAAAACACAATTCATTATACTTAGAATTAGGTACATTCTTATCATTTGTATGTAAAAACCTATTTATAAAATTATAAAATTCATTTTTAATATTTTCTAAGCATTTCTGTCTAACATTACTTTCCATACTAAAAAAAAATTTTTTGGTGTAATCATCAACAATAATAAACTCATTTAATAAATTAAATAAATCATGAAAAATGATTCTATAAAAGTTTTCTCTTTTTATTTCATTTTTTTTTATATTTTCTATTATTTTATGGAAGTATGATTCGAATAATGTAGTAATATAGTCATTCTTATTTTTTATAGATTCTTTAATATTTTCTAAGTTTAAATGTATTTTAAAAATTATTTCTTTTATGTATGAACTATATTTATTATTGATATGCATATGTTTTGATGAAATATTTTTATAACTTAAAACATCCTTATTTTTTTCATTAGGACTATAATTTTCCTTTTTCTCTTTTTTAATTTTTTTCTTATAATTATTATCTACTTTATTATCAATATTTATCTCTTCATACTGTTTTTTATTTTTTTCAGTTATAAATTTACTTTCTGACATTTTTCTTTTTAAATATTTTAGATTTTCTTTTTCTTTTTCACTATAGTAATTATCACTTGGTGTTTTGAAGTTATTTTTTATCTTATTTTTAGTACTATTTTTTCTTATTTGATTACTTATTCTTTCTTTTTTCTTTTTAAATTTTTTGTTATAAAATTTACTTTTTTCTTTATAATTATTATCTTCTTCATCATCTTCTTCATCATCTTCTTCTTCATCTTCATCATCTTCTTCTTCATCTTCATCATCTTCTTCTTCATCTTCATCTTCATCTTCTTCATCTTCTTCTTCTTCTTCTTCTTCATATTCTCCGTCTTGTTTATTTTCATTTTCAAATTCATATTTGTATTTATCTTCATTTTCATCCTTTTTTTTTTTTTTTTTTTTTTTAACAACAATTCTTTTTGAGTATCCATCATCATAAATAATTTTAATTTTTTTATTCTTATAGTTCATTTGAACTTCATTAATATTTATGTCAAGATTTTTATTTTTTTGGGTACTATTAGTATCAGAGTTATAATTGTTATCACAACTTAAGCTTCTTCTACTTTTACTTTTTTTGTTTCTCCAATTCCTGTTTGCATTTTTTGAATTTTTGTATCTTCTGTAATTTTTATTATTTAATTCATCTATATTTTTGTCAATTGATAATTTATATAATTTATCAGCTAGCTTTATATTATCTATAACATCTTTTTCATAATTAGGCATAAGTAAAGATAAGCTTCTTCTTTTAGTATTACTTTTTTTTTTATCTTTTTTTTTCTCTTTATTAATATTACTATCACTGTCATTATATTCTGAATCACTTAATTTTACTGTATAGCGTAATTCGTTATAATTTCTGCCTTTTTCAGATTCATTTTTGTTCTCATTTTCTTTTTTCTTATAAAATTTAGAATTTTCTTTTGTATAATCTCTCTATACAGTAAAAAATTTGAAATTATAATTATTCCTAGATATAGAATTAGTATTTTATATTTTACATTATTATAATTTCCACAACTAAGATTAAAGTTACATATTTTATTTAAACTATCTACAGTTAAATTATTATTATCAGTTAATACAATTGGATTTTTTTCTTTTCAATATATATACATGTATTTTTATTATTTTTTACTTGTGTCTTTTTTGCAAATTTTTTCATAGTGTTAATGTAGTGTCAACATATAGGAATTATTTACAAAAAAAAAATAAAAAATAAATGAATTAGATAATAATTTTAATAATTCCTAGACTTATAATAATATTACTGTTTTTATAATTTTGTATTATATCTAAATTTAAAATATATAATATGACAACTGATATGATTATGATAAAATAGTTAATTTATTAATTATAATTTTTATTTATTTGAAAAAAATGAAAATACACATATAATTAAAAACAAATACACGTAAAAAATAAAATAAAAATAAAAGATAATAATGATTTAAAAAAAAAAGTAAAAAAAATGTAAAGAATAATTTTAATACTGTTTAAAAAAAAAAAAAATTGATAATTATAAAATTTAATATTTTATTAAAAGAAAAATAAAATTTATACGTTCAAATTTTATAAAAATCATTTTTTTTATTTTATAAATTATGCTCATATATCTTTTTGTGCTTTTCTAAGTATGATGATGTGCTCATATGCTTAATTCTATTATAAGAAAAAAGAAAAAAATATATAGACATAAGGTTGTTTCATATAATTCATTTAAAAATTTTTTTTTTTATAATTATATATGTATTTTATAACAATATAAATACAAAAAATAATTTTTTTTTAGAAAAAAAAAAAAAAGAATATTAATATACCGCGATAATGTTCTCATAGACGCAAAAGTATTTTCTTGAGATGTATCTATCGATTTTTCACTAAAAAAAAAAAAAAAAAAAATTTTAATTTATTTTTATAAAACATGTAAAAAATTATTTTATATTCTTTTATGTTACTCAAATAATAAATAAGGAATAGGTTCTAATTTTACATCCTCATTTTCTAAATATTTTAAATGCTTTTTTACATCTATTTCGTAATTCATGATATGGAAACATAAAATTTGTCTGAAAAAAAAAAAAAAAATAATAATGCAAATATAAATAAATAATATTTTTTAATAATGTTTTAAATATAATAATTACCTTAAATACTCTATAGGTATATATTCTTTATTAATATTATAATTTATAGCATCAAATAACTTTTCACCTATTCTATAAAAATAAGCAAAAAATTAAAATATAAAAAAATAAATAGTTTTTATAGTAACGGATTGAATAAATATAATAAATAATATAATAATATTTAATATAACAAATTATGAAATATATATATATTTTTTTTAGCATATATAAATATACAACAAGAACAAATATAAAAAGTCAAAGAAATACAAAAAAAATAAATAGATGAATATAGGAATTTTTTTTTTTTTTTTTTTTTTTTGTTAAAATGGAAAATAACAATAAAAATCATGTAATAATTTAAAATTAGAAGAATAACTTACTCTCTATTTATATCAAATTGTGACATAATATGAATAAATATTTCTTTGTTAAAGCTGTCACATTTTAATTGTTCCTTAGATGAATTTTTAAAATCATCAAAACTATCATATTTGATTTTCATTTTCTCTATGAGAATTTGAAAATAAGAAATTATAGAACTTGTCTGAAAAATTTGAAAAATGGGAATATTACTAAAAAAAAAAACTTTTGTGTTTTTCTCATATAAAATATCTATTAATAAAATAAATCTTCTCATTTCATTTCCATTATTTTCTTCATTCATTTTTTCAATGTCATAAATAAATAAAGTATTACTTTCATTTGATATTGCATTATATTCATCTATGCTAATATTTTTGTTACATAATTCTTCAAAAGAATATATTGCATAATTATTTAATTTATAAGGTACATTGCATTTTTTATAATTAGAGACAATAATTTTTTCATTAAACTTCTCAACTTTCTTTATGTAATTTAAATCTTTATTGTAGGTTTTACAATAAATATCATTACATATTTTTTTAATTTCTTCAAAATTTTTTGTTGGTATATTATATATATTACTATCTGTATTCTTATTTTTTACTCGAAAATCAAAATAATTATCAACTTCAAATATATAATTAAACTTAAATAATAATTTTATAAAAGGTAAAAATCTATCTCTGTTTAGACCGTTATGATAAAGATGTATTGGATTTCTATTTGAAGAACATAATAAAACAGTTCCCCTATAAAATAGATGATTAAATAATGATTTGATAACCATTGCATCTGATATATGAACAACTTGAAACTCATCAATAAATATTAATTTATATTTTTTGCTCATTTTTATAGATATATTTTTTATAGGGTCTTCTGAATTATTTATTTTTTCTTCATGAAAATTTTTATGAACTTCTTGCATAAAGTTATGATAATGAATTCTTAATTTACATAATTTAATTCTATCAAATAATAAATTTAAAAAATAAGTTTTACCTCTTCCCACACTTCCATGAACATACAATCCTCTAATATATTTTATTTCTTTTTCATCTACCTTGTTACTACTAGTAAAATATCTCTCATCTTTTATATTCATATATCTTAGTGTATTATCTTTATCTATCTTTCTATTGTCTACATATATAAAGAAATTATCATCATTTTGAAAATCTTCCTCTTTTATTTCTTTATCTAACTCAGTGTCTTCTTCATGCTTATCCCTTCCTTTTGAGAAAAAAGAACTAAAGAAAAACTTTTTACGTATATCTTTTTTTTCTAGATTTTCTTCTACATTACGATAATAATTATTTAAATTATTTTCAAGAGCCTATTTATATTATTCAAAAAAAAAAAAAAGAAAAAAAAAATTCTAGAAATACGTCAAATCTGTAATATTTCAAGATATCCTTACATATATATTATATAATTTATTATATATGTTTAATAAAAATGAAAATAGATAAGATAAAAAAAATTACTTTGAAAAAATTATAAAAAAAACAGTAATGACAAAACTAAACATATATGAATAAACTTATTTATATATAATTTTATTAATTTTATTAATTTTAAATTACTTGTAAAACTAAAACTAAGTTATATTGATAAGGATCACTTTCTATTTTATTTGTTTTAACTAATTCATGATATAATTCAATTAAATTTTTATTATTATTTAAATTATCAACATTTTTCTCATATGTTTTATTATTAATTAATGAAAAGTTTACATGTTGTTGAAAAATCATAAATTCTTTCTTACGGTAGTTTATAATATTTATTTTCTTTAATAGCTGTTTAACAAATCCTCTTGAATTCCGTAAAATTATCATCATGAAAAATAAAATAAATAAATAAATAAGACTAAATTTTAAAAATATATTAGCTGTTATTAGAAGTTATCATCTTACAATACATGTATTTTTTTATTAAGCATATAAAAGTATGTAAGCACAATTACAAGTAAAATATTATTATTTAAAGAGTTGATCTTATATTAAGTAAAAAAATTAAATAAACAAAAATGAAAAATGTAGATAAAATATATATATATATATAAAATAAAATTAAAGAAAAAATATTATATGCATTTAACATATAAAAAGAAAAATAATAGAAAAATAAAAAAAAAAAAATAAAAATTATAACCTTAAAATTATAAAGAAAAAAAAAAAAAAAAAAAAAAAAAAAAAAAAAAAAAAAAAAAAAAAAAAA